CGGCTGAAAGGGCGAGCATGTTTGGTGTGACGGGGATTCGAACCCGCGACCCGCAGATTGCGAGTCGAGTGCCCTAACCACCTGGCCATGGCATATATCGAAAGGTGTGATTTACTCATTTGTACATCTCAAAGTAGCATGATAACACTTATAGCAACCTCGTATTAATTGAGTTTATTTTTTGGAAACTGATTAGCTGTATGTTAAATTTTGGGTTCTGATATAGTTTAATTGTAGCTTCTATGAATACAAAACAGTTTTGTTTGACAGAAGAAAAGTTGGTAACTTATTACATGAATACGTATAATCACGACTTGTAAATATTTGAGAAGCAGATAGATAAATAATAATTGTTTCTATAACTAAACTTGACATGTGGTTGTTATTATGAATTTAATTTGATTATGATAGTATGGAAGGTACTTATAGAGGAATTATGCAACCTTTTCTAAAGGGAAAATACTTTAAGGAATAACTTATTATTGTATAACCATGACTAGGATTTATAATTATATTTTGAAATATAATACAGTAGTTTAATACGTAATGCTAAAACAAATTTAGAGCATCATAACGTCGTTACATTCCATGTTGCCACGTCCTATCATGCTCTACCTGACGAGTATGCATCTTGATAATATATGTAACAGTTTTCGAAAAAATAGATACGCTCAATTTGTTCTTCATTCTTTTTCCCAGAGCTTTTCTTGAGTATGAGCACCTTATGAACTCACTCGGTTAAAAATGGTTTCCTGTTAATTATCATAATATATATTCTGAACTTGACAATTAATTTTTTCCTAATATTATTTCTTTATAAACTAGTCCTAAAGCGTCTCTTTGCAAGGCTAATCTAAGATGAAAGATATTGGTACTATTATTGATCAGACTTCACTAGAATCCGGGTTTCGATACCTGTGGTGGGCAGAGCACAGATAGACCATTGTGTAGCTTTGTGCCTAACTTCAAACAAACCGGGCCCGGTATGGCCAGGTGGTTAGGGAGCTCGACTCGCAATCTGTGGCTCGCGGGTTCGAATCCCCATCCCACCAAACATGCTCACCCTTTCCGCCGTAGGGGCGTTATAATGTGACGGGCAATCCCACTATTCGTTAGTAAAAGAGTAGCCCTAGAGTTGGTGGTGGGTGTTGATGACTAGCTGCCTTCCCTCTAGTCTTACACTGCTAAATTAGGGATGGCTAGAGCAGATAGCCCTCGCGTAGCTTTGCGCGAAATTCAAAACAAACAACCAATCAAACAAACCAAACACTTTATAGGTTATTAAAAGCAAAGCTCGGCATGACGCTTGAGCTATGCCAGTTGGCCTGTATAGCTAAACTTAAATTTATACCATTTGATGGTTGAAAGTGTCTTTTTATAGTATTTAACTATATATATATATATATTTATTTATTTAAGCATCATATCTAATTACTAAACGCTATAACTTTGTTATGTTCATGTTCCTTATATATATTTCCCTTGTGACGTTGTAGTATCGGACTCAGTTGAGCAACAGGATCTTCTAGATTCACGTTCAAGAAAAGAGAAACCAAAATATCAAATGAAATTATGAGATGAGAAACTGAATCTAAATTGTATTTAGAGTGTTACTTTTCAAGAACAAAAGTAAGGCGTATAGCTTCAGGATCGGAAGAAACATACTAAACATACGGCCTCTGGAAGGATAATTAGTGTACTTATTTATATACGAACGTTAAAGATGCGAGTATCAGCTTATAGAGCTGAATACTATTAAGCTCTATTTCATCATTGTTAAAAGCGATGATATTTCATGAAAGTGCAGACCTTAGGCATTCGTTGTAAATACATATCTAATACGCCTGTTATTAACATAAAGTGTGTTTTGTATTTATCCTTCATGTAATCAGATAAGTATGATCCACGCGCTTTTAGAAATATTATTTTAATTAGGGCTAACCCGATAAAGACTAATGTAATTGCATCAACAGTTTCAAATGGAAAGACAAAAAAGGAAACAGTTTTGAATACACTATTTATCTGTAACAGCTTCTAAAGGCTTTTATGTTGTCGAAGTAAGCAATGTAATATTATCTCTCTTTTGGAACTGAACATCAGGAGCTTTTAACCTGTAAAATAATATATAATATTTAAAAGAAAAATATTTCGTGAATTATTCTAACAATTTTCCTAACTCCTGAAACATAGTACAATATGTGATAATGTTAATCTCTTAAAACAAAGTAATTCACTAATCTGCGACACAAAACTCAGATGAAGCCATGTTCACAAAGTTAGATTTTCATAGGAAACAAAACGTTGTGCAAAATAACCTTGCGAAGTAGAATCGCTTTATTTAATATTTTACAGAATAACCTCGCGAAGTATACAAAATAACCTCGTGAAATATAATCGTGTTGTGTGATGCTTTACAGAATTCGTGTTGTGTAATACTTTACAGAATAACCTTGCGAAGTAGAATCGCTTTATTTAATATTTTACAGAATAACCTCGCGAAGTATACAGAATAACCTCGTGAAATATAATCGTGTTGTGTGATGCTTTACAGAATTCGTGTTGTGTAATACTTTACAGAATAACCTTGCGAAGTAGAATCGCTTTATTTAATATTTTACAGAATAACTTCGCGAAGTAGAATAATTTTGTGCAATATTTTGCAGAATAACCTCGCGAAGTATACAGAATAACCTCTTGAAATATAATCGTGTTGTGTAATGCTTTACAGAATAACCTTGCGAAGTAGAATCGCTTTATTTAATATTTTACACAATAACTTCGCGAAGTAGAACCATTTTGTGCAATATTTTATTCATACGTCGTGTAAGTTATGTGGGTCTACAGATATTTTACTAGTTTTGTAAATTTATTTAACTAAAACTACCGACAAAGTTTGGAGTATGATTTGAAGAATTATTTGTTTACTGCTGTAGTTTAAAATTAATGCTTACACAACGATTGCTCGCTATAAACAAGATTCATTTCCAGTTTCTATAATAACAGAAGAGTGCTAAACGCTCGTTTAGTGGTAAATCTGAGAGCTTATATCGTTAAAAAATCTGGTTAAGATACCCATAGTGGGCAGAGCACAGATAGCCAATTGTGTAGCTTTGTGCTTAACTAGAAAAAATAAAACAAACATTTATATCAGTAGCTTTTTGTTGATAGGGTAAAAATAATCAAATGTTATACTTAAGTTTTCTAATAATTAAATGTTATACTTACGTCTTATAATAATCAAATGTTATACTTAAGTTTTCTAATAATTAAATGTTATACTTAAGTTTTCTAATAATCAAATGTTATACTTAAGTTTTCTAATAATTAAATTTTATACTTACGTCTTATAATAATCAAATGTTATACTTAAGTTTTCTAATAATTAAATGTTATACTTAAGTTTTCTAATAATTAAATGTTATACTTACGTCTTATAATAAATAAGCATTATATTCTCACTCTTCGATAATTCACTGCTATACTTACACTTTCTGGTAATTACACAAATATTTTCTGAGAATTAAACATAATATTTTCACTTTTTGATAATTATGTGCTATACTTACGACTTCTGATAATTAATCTAAAGAAATATTATAATTAAACGTATATTTTAATTTTTTGATAATTAAACGTTATACTTACTTTTGCTGATAAATAAATCTATTTGAATTATTTGACAATTGAAAGTTACACTTAAACTTTCTGATAATTAAACACTTTTTTGTTAATTAAATACTATGTTTCTAATACTAAGACTTTATACATACGTTTTATGCATGAAACTCAGTCCTAATCTGTCTTTAACACTTGGTTTCCAGAGTTCTACTGTTATAAATTTTGTTGGAACTAGATAAGAAAAAACAACAATTTTTTAAACAAATACAGCTATTGGAAATTGGAAAGGAAAAGGAAGTCAATAATGTTATAAATAACTGGAAAAGTTTCCTTTTTTATTTTTTAGGACGTACCAAGAAGATGTAATAAACTTAAGTTGATAGACCGAAGCCAAATAATACCAATTTGTCGTTAAAGGCGCTGTACACTTATTGTTGCCATAGTGATATACTACGTACCACAAAACAAGCATGAGATTCAAAAGAAATATAGTAAGTCACAGTTTTGTATTAGTTACAAGACGTGATGAAATATGTATTATTCCAATGGTTATAAACTTGTATGTCCCTTTTTGTGGTTATGAAATATAAATAGGCTGGGGAGCTGTAGTGATACTGCGAAAACAAAGCCGTGAAGTTAGTAAAGTATTTCAGTGGCATTTTGTTCTTATTTAAGAATACATAGAGAAATAAAAATAATCTTTCTTTTTATATTATTTGCGGACACAATCTTTACTGTAATGTTAAATATATCAAAAAGACAAGGGCTTCGGGTTTCTCTCAATAATATATTTAAACATTCAGCACTGAAAATTTTATTATGTATAAATACGCTGCAGTTTTTGTTTTT